GTGTCGTTTTGGGATTCGTCTATTTTTATCAATAAAATGAAGCATTTAGCATTCTAAGTTCTCCAAATCAATTTGTCTCTAGGCCTACCTCGGGCACAAAGAGGTTCCTAAATTAGGACGCGCTTTACATTCCCGCACTATGTGTTTAAATATTGCAATACTTTTTATAACCCTCACTGACTTGATTACCTTTTGTTTTTATTTTGTTTTCTTTATTATTCCCCTCCCCAAAGGTTAGTTCGTGCACTATGGCATCATCATCTTATTTCACAAGATCCAGGGGCCCTCCACCCACTCCTCCTCTTAGTACTGTCAAAAGCAAGAACAAAGGCAAGATAGAAGATGTGAACAACATCGGGAAGGAGAACACAATTGAACGGATACAGGCCACTGAAAGTCAGGGTATTCAGGTTCCAAACGAGAATGTGTCACAAAATTTGAGCAGAAACTGCTGAAAATTCCAAGAAGAGTTCGGTCAGGTTCAGAATCTGGCAAGCCTGTCATTTTCCCTCAGCATCCCAGATGTCAACTTCCCCAACACTCAAAACCCTAAACCTCCTCAAAATATCCCAAAACAACAGAATCATCCCGCTCCTCACCATCATATTGCTCAACCAAAGAACCAATGCAACACCTGCCATACCTCAAACAACAATCCACTACTCATCCCAGAACCCTAAAACTCCACAAACGGCCATTTCCAACCCCATACACCAGGCCACCATAACACTCCTATCTACATGGAGACTATGCCACAATTCACCCAACCTATATCAGGCACACCTGAGATTGATGAAAAGGATTTGTCAGGAACTTGGCTGAGGAGCTTAAAAAATTGACCAGCTGGATTCAAGACGTTGAGCGAAGCAAAGGAATCAAGGGGCTGAATTATGAGGATCTTTGCATACAACCTGATGTCGAACTGCCCGAGAGATACAAACCTCCTAAGTTTGAGATGTTTGATAGTACGGGTGATGCAAGAATCCATCTGAGGACCTATTGCAACAAGCTGGTTGAAGTAGGGAAGGATGAAAGAATACGCATGAAGATGTTCATGAGGAGTTTGAAAGGATATGCATTATCTTTGTACATCAGCCAAGATCCCAAGAAATGGTCAAGCTGGGTAAGCATGGCATCTGACTTTATGGATAAATTTAGGTTTAACATAGAGAATGCACCAGACATGTTCTATATACAGAATTTGAAGAAGAAGCCCACGAAAACATTCCGCGAGTATGCTACTCGCTGGAGGTCCGAAGCTGCTAAGGTTCGACCTGCCTTAGAAGAGGAGCAAATGAACATGTTCTTTGTCTGGGATCAGGACCCGCGGTACTATGAGCGGCTGATGATGTATTGAGAACCACAAGTTTTCCGACATCATTAAATTGGGTGAAAGAATTGAAGAAGGTATTAAAAGCGGTATGGTTACATACTTCGAGGCCTTGCAAGCTATAAATAAGGCTTTGCAGTCCGGTGGTGTGTCCAAGAAAAGGGATGTAGGGGCCTTGATGGTTGCATAGAGGACCAAATCTCCCCTGAAATACCAAACTTACCTAACACCTCCACTCACATACCAGCCAGCTCCAAATTACCAAGCACCTTTACCCTCATACCAAGCTCTGCCACCCACTTATCAGTTATCTCCACCTCCTACATATCAACCTACTTCACCCAAATACTCCCAACCCGCTCATATCTACAAAACTTATAATGCTCAACCATCCCACTATCAATCACCCCTGCATGCTAAAACTTCCCTAGACCTTGACCTAATTTTGATTGCAGACCTCCAAAATAATATATAGCCATCGCTGAACCCATTGACTAGCTGTATGAGAGACTCAAAGCTACTGGTTATGTCACCCCCATCCCTGCTGCAACCCCTGAGAATCCTTCCCCATGGGTAACCTAAACAAATCATATGCATACCACTCCGGCATGAAAGGGCACACCATCGATGAATGTCGTTCCTTGAAAGACAAGATCCAATATTTGATTGACAACAAGATCATTGTGGCAAAAGAACCCGCTCCAAATGTCCGCAACAACCCTCTGCCAGACCATAAGGGTGGAGGTATCCACATGATTGAAATAGAAGATGACTGGGATCCTGAGGGATCAATCAGGTTGATCGCAAAAAGTGATGACCCAAAGAAACAAACAATTACTCTCAATCCAATCATAGTCTAGATCCAACTATCTGAGGACGCTGAGGTGAATATATCTGAACCACTTGAGATTGAAGCAGCCCCATCCGCAAAGATACCGGCACCAATTGATGTTGAATTTGTGTCTCTAGCAAAGGCACCTGCATTATTTGAGGTTGCAATTTTGCCACCCAAGGTACATGTTCCGTTCGGAGTAAGGATAGTCGCGCCGATCCAAGTGGCGAGGTCAACCATGACACCATTCTATACAAATGTTGTAACTTGGGACTATACAGCCGAGGCAAGAAGAAAAGGCATGGTCAAGGTTGAAGAAACCATTGCAGCACAAGGTATGACAAGAACTGGTAGAGTCTATACCCTTGAACATCTAGCTGAATCAAGTAAGCAGGCCTCCAATTGGCCACCCCTCATTGAGACAGGCCCGGACAATCTTTGGAGAAAGATACAGGCCAAAGTGATGTTTTAGGCGTCAATACCACACAAGAGGGGGGGTGATTTGTGTGGTACCCAATTTTCGCTTAACTATTCTATAGAAGAACCTGGTTCTTTAGGGGTTACAACTACTACTCTTTGCGGAATAATAAGTACAGAAATAAAGAACACAAAGATTTTTATGTGGAAAACACCTGGCTCAAAAGGTGAAAAAACCACGACCTACTACTCAGTAGGATTTTCCCAAACTTCCACTAAAATCATTGAGCCAAAACAGCATTTACAAAAACTCTTTGTAAACCTAAGGATTAACTCTAATCCTGTTGTGGCACACAGCCTCAACTGCTGTGACAACTTCAAGTTAGCTATAACTTGAACACTCTAGGTACCTAATACAATTGCTTCTATAAAAGCTGAAAGGTACAATTTTAAACCACCTGCTACAATTGAACTAGAATAAAAGATAGACACAATGGAACTGGTTCTTCTATCTCGTTCAAGTAGCTTTAGGAGTGCACACTCAAATCCCACATAAATTGCTTGCAAAATCGCCTTGATCTTTTGCTCTCAATTTAGTTAACTTCTACATATGTGCATTACCTATAAAAGAGAACAACACTGATATTTAATAGGTTAGTAATTAGAGTTTGATTATAACTCAATTGTTGCTCTCCTATCGTAGAAGAGTTCATGATAATCTCAAACTCTAACATTATCTTCATCCTAGATTGTGTTCTCTTCATATAAGGAGACTTTCTCCCCCTATCCAATATGCAACCTTTTCGATAAGATCAGGAGATATTGCTGCTTGATCAGTAGGCTTATCTCCTTCACGTGCATCTCACATGTATAGGTTAAACATGAGTGTGCTTCACAAGATGGACCTGGTCCATGACTGAGTTCTTTTTGTCATTCTTCAAAACTTCACCTGTTCTTGCGCCAACAAATTCCCTCTTTCTGATGATGACAAACTCTGTGCTTTTTACTGATTTGGAACCTATAAGAACTCAACTTAACCATCAATACTAAACTTAGAAAATTCACTTATTATCAAGGACTAGGTTAATTAGGTTATAAATATCACTTATTTTCAGAATGTAAAGCACAATGTCTCTTCCCCCTTTTGGCATCATCGAAAAGTTGCATACAAAATATGATACCCAGATTTTAATAAGTACTCATGGCCACTGGGGCAACTGCAAGTGCAATCATGGTGCAATCATCAGTAATTAAGCAAACATATTTAAATTATCAATGACAGATTAAACATTGAACAAGAGCAAAACAGTAGTTATCATTGACAGAGATATGTTGCCACCAACAATCCATTAAAAGAAAGAAAAACATTCAAACCATGAGCCAAAAAAACAAAAGATAGAAAAATCCCTAATCTGGGTCACGGAGGCACTAAACAAGTTCAGGAGTCCTAAGGCTTGGAGGAACTAGAGGGTTGGTTTTGTGTTTGGAGAAGACTCAGCATGTTATGAAGAATTCCATCATTCTTCTCCTTTTCTTTGGCAAGCTCAGTTCTGAGACCATCTCTCTCAGTTTCCATTTCAATCAGACGAGCCCTGAGCATAGCTATTTCAGTATCCTTGGCTACACATTCCTGAACTAGAGTCCTAACTTTGCTGTTGATGGGTACCTTAAGAGATAAATAAGGTTCATTTGGGATGGCAGTGACTGCATAGTCACAAGCAAGAAGATTATTGATGCCAAAGTGATCCTTGCTCAAGGCCATTTCCCATTTCTTCAGAGGCATATTTAGCCTGTCCAGAACTGTGGCTAGAATAAAGCCATAGGGAATAGCATGGGCCTTGGAGCCGTTTATGACCCTGTCTAGCAGCTTAATAATGAAGGAATGCCAGTTGATTTGCTTTTCTCTCTCCATGCACTCTATAAGAACTAGATCCATGTAATTAGCAACGTGCCTTCTCTCATATCTGGGCAATAAACACTTGTTGACAAATTCAAACAAGACCTTGTGCTCAGGCCTCATTTCAGTTTTCTGCACAGCCCTAGCTTCATTCACCTCTTCTGAATCACAAAACCTCCTGTGATTGCAAGTGGAGTAGGGAGGGAGTCCAGGCAGGGCCACCTTTGCCTTGTATAGTCATCAAATCCTTCAGAGGGTATGTCCAGGATCTCTCCCAGTTTCTTTGCATCAAACTGCACTTGGACTCCTTTCCCCAGGCTACTAACAATGCCATCCTTAACCGCGGCATTGGCAATAAATTCAATTAGCTCATTTCTGGATAGCCTACCATCCATTAGAAGGACCATGTCCTTCCATCCCTGAGCAGCTAAAGCATCCACTAATCTCATCATTCATGGTTCCACCAGGTCTTTCAGAAGTCTACCCTTTAAAATCTTTCTTTTGCCAAACATGGCAAGCTTATCCTATTCCTTCTCAGAATCATTTTCTTCTTCTTCTTCTCCACTCCAGTCATCATCTTCAGAAATTTTTGATTGTTTGGTTTTCACTGCAGATCTTGTCTTCTTGGCTAGTGTAGGTTCACCGGCCTCAGACACAGAGGAAGACTTCTTAGAGGAGGTTTTGGGCTTTTTAGGTTTGGGGGTAGGAACCTCAACTGATGTACCCCTTTCTTTATGGACCAGTTCCATCTCCTCTTCCTCAATAGCCTCTGAGGGTTCTGCAATCTTTCCTTTTCCTTTATCCATTTTCTTTTTCTTATTCTCTTTTAAAGCCCTTTGTAGATCAACTTCACTCAGTTTCACCCTGCTTCTTTTGGCTATACCCCTTGGTAGTGAAGAGGCAATAGGTGTTGGGGAGGAAGCCATTCTTTTCTTGGAAGGCTTAGGAACATTAGGGGCTTTTGTTGTGGGAGTTCTGCATTTCTTTGGGTCATAACTTGCCCCAACCCTTTCCAGTAGGTCTGCTAGGGTATCTTCAGTAGATGAAATAGGTTCATCTTTTTGTGTGCTTAGATGAACCTACCCCTCAGTAGCTTCCCCAGAACCACTTCTCCCTGACTTCATGCCACTCTCTTCTACCCTTTCTGGTTCAACCCCACAGATAGCAAGAATTGCTCCCTTCCCATTTCCCCTCTTATTACCACATGCACCCTCTATCTCTTTTTATTTTTCAGAATTCTTTTTACCTCCACTCCTTTCTGACCCTGGTACTTCTACATCCTTAACATATCCAACCTGAGTAAACCTAGATTCTAGATTCTCAGAAGAAATTTCCTTAAATGGATATTCTTGAGTCTTTTCAGAGTCAGAAGACCCAGGTCCTTCCCCCTCAGTAGCGGATTGATATGATTTAGAATCAGAGCTGGAGCTGGAGATTTGGGCCTGGCTTCCCTTCAAATTTTTATTTAATTTCTTCCTCAGAGCCCCAGATGCTACAGTCTTTTGAGCAAGCATTTTCACCCTACGCAGTCTAGGTTTTGACGATGTACTAGGTGGAGGAGGTATGGTTGAATGTGAGGGAAATGGTGGTGTATGAGTTCCAAGATTGTCTTGTGGGTTAGTCATGATCGTTGGTTTCTTGAGAGAATTTGGGAATTTAGAGTTTTGGAGAAGAGGGCAAGTGAAAGTGAAGAAAACAAATTCTTGACGGTTTGAAATTTAGAAGATAGTAGGAGAAATGATGTGTATTTAAAGAGATATACACATTTAATAGGTAACGACAGCCTTTTGTAGTGATCAAATAGAGGTCTAATAAACCTGAAATTCCAGATTTTGAATGATCGGTTTATTTTCCCAAGATTTTAGGCAAATTTTTTGATTTAGAGGTCTAGGAAAACGGAAATGGTTCAATGCTAACGGGTAGAATTTCTAGGAATTTAACAAGTATAAGACTTCTGATGATGATTGAATTATTAATCTTTCTAATTGTGTAGAGTATCGAAAACATACCTTAGCTTTCATATGAACCCATACTGATGAACTAGGTTCTTTATTTAGAAGTCTCTTGAACATGCCTCAAATGCCATAATAGAGAAAATATTGTAAGAAATCAGTGAGTCATATAAGCACATGTCATAGGAGTATACTAATTAAAGTATGAAGCTGAGTAAGAATTAATGTAGATAATTATACAAGTTCAGAATTCCTAGCCAAAGATTTTTTTTTCATTTTTCATTTTTTTCATTGCATTGTGAGTTGGACCTATTAGTGATCTTAATCATCCCTAATTCCAACCTGTTCCTCTCAAAGTTTTCTCTACTCAGTGCTTTAGTGAAGATGTCAGCAATTTTTTTATCAGTAGCACAAAATTCTATGGAGATCAATCCTTTCTCATAGTTATCTCTTAAGAAGTGGTGTCTAACATCTATGTGCTTAGTCCTCTTATGATGAACATGGTTCTTTGTCATACTTATAGGACTGGTGTTATCACAGAATATAGGAATGTAACCAACTTCAATGCCAAAAATCTACCATCTTTTGTTTGATCCATAACAGTTGAGCACAACAAGAAGCAGCAACAACATATTCATCCTCAGTAGTGGATAAGGCCATTGAATTTTTCTTTTTAGTGGCCCAGGATACAAGACATGAGCCAAGAAAGTGAGACGTACCTGAGGTGCTTTTCCTATCCACAAGGAAACCTGCATAATCAGCATCAGCATATCCTACTAGATTGAAATTACTACCTTTAGGATACCAAAGACACATATCAGCAGTTCCTTTCAAATATCTTAGTATCCTCTTGACAGCAGTCAAGTGACACTCTTTTCGATCGGCCTGAAAGCGAGCACAAAGCCCTACACTAAAAGCTATGTCAGGTCTGCTAGCACTAAAATACAAGAGTGAACCAATCATTCCCCTATACAATGTCTTATCAACTGATGAACCAGGTTTATTTAAGTCTAATTTAGTGGCAGTTTCAATGGGGATGTTTATTTCCTTTGATTCATCCATTTTAAACTTTTTGATCACCTCTTTTGCATACTTCTGCTGATGGATCATGGTTGCATTTGGTCTTTGTTTGATCTGTAAGCCTAAGAAAAACTTAAGCTCACCCATCATACTCATTTCAAACTCACTCCCCATTAATTTGGAAAAATCCTTACTTAGTTTATCAGTGGTAGCCCCAAAGATTATGTCATCAACATATATTTGTACCACAAGGAGATCCTTACCTTTTTCCCTTAAGAGGGTACTGCCAATTTTACCTCTTTTGTATCCATGTTCAAGCAGAAATTTGGACAGTCGTTCATACCATGCTCGAGGAGCCTGCTTGAGTCCACAGAGAGCCTTGTCTAATTTGTACACATGCTTAGGACATTCCTTGCTCTCAAACCTTGGAGGTTGTTTCATAAACACTTTTTCTTTCAGGTAGCCATTCAGGAAGGCATTTTCGACATCCATCTAATGGAGAGTGAATAACATATGTGCAACAAAGGCAATGAGGAGTCTTATTGCCTCTAGTCTTGCAACTGGAGCAAAAGTCTAATCATAATCTATACCTTTCTCTTAGCTGTAACCTTGGACCACAAGTCTTGCCTTGTTTCTTGTAAATGTTCCATCTTCATCAAATTTTTTCCTAAAGACCCATTTTGTACCGATAATTGATCTGTCCTTGGGTCTTGGAACTAGATGCCAAACTTGACTTCTCTCGAACTGATTGAGTTCATCTTGCATTGCATTCACCCAATCTGCATCCTGCAAAGCCTCAACAACATTTTTAGGTTCAATAAGAGATAAGAAAGCATCAAAGGCACAAAGATTCTTTAATTGTGATCTAGTTTTAACTCCAGATGTTGGATCAGTGATTATGTTCTCAATAGAATGAGAACTTTGATACTTGTGAGGTTTCACAACCAACTGATGTCTACTAGATGTTTCTCCCATGTTCTGTTGCTGAGGAACATGGTCATGAACAGGTTTTTTTAGGGGATTTGTTTCGATTCCTCTTTGATCAATTCCCCCTGTCAGGTTACCCTGAATGGAAGGACATGTTCCATCACCTGTTCCTTCTTTTGGTGCCACTTTAACTTGTGCTGAGACTTCAGTCAAATCCTTTACCAATCAAATGGCTTCATCTTCATGTTCTTGTCTCTCAGAAAGAACGTTAGTTTCATCAAACATTACATGCACACTTTATTCTACACACAAAGTTCTTTTATTGAACACTTTATATGCTTTGCTATGTGCAAAATATCCCAAGAATACTCCCTCATCACTTCTGGGATCAAACTAACCTAGGAAGTCTTTTCCATTATTGTGCACAAAGCAATTGTATCCAAATGCCCTAAGATGGGATATATTTGGTTTTCTCCCTTTAAGTAACTCATAGAGAGTCTTCTCTACAAGAGGTCTAGTCATGCATCTATTGATAATGTAACATGCAGTGTTTACAGCCTCTGCCCAGAAGCTGTGGGACAGTTTACTAGAAAGAAGCATAGTCCTAGCCATGTCTTCGAGAGTCTTGTTCTTTCTTTCAACTACTCCATTTTGTTGAGAAGTCCTAGGGGCAGAGAAGTTATGATCTATACCATGTTCATCAAAGAATTCAACAAACTTAGCATTTTCAAATTCAGTTCCATGATCATACCTAATGGATTCAAGTTGATTACCTAGTTGTTTCTGAGTTTTTCTAACAAAAGCAGCATACATGTCAAATGCTTCATCTTTAGATGTTAAAAATAGTACCCCAGGTAAATCTAGAATAATCATCAATAAGTACCATTACATATTTCTTTCCACCTCTGCTCATGGTTCTCATTGGACCACAGAGATCCATATGGACCAGTTCTAACGTCTTGGTTGTGCTTACCATTTTCTTACTTTTGAAGGATGATCTTACCTGCTTCCCCCTTACACAGGCCTCACAAACTTCCTTGAACTTGATGTTAGGTAACCCTATCACCAAGTCCTTAGAGACTAATTTGTTTAGCTAATTCAGATTAGCATGACCAAGTCTTTTATACCATAGGAGGGGATCATTATCCAACACACTTAGGCAGGTGAGTTCATTTTCTGAAAGTGTAGATAAATCTACAATTTAAATATTGTTAATTCTTTTTCCTTGCAAAACAATCTTATCAGTGGTAAGGTTAATCACAAAGCATTTAGTAGAGGTGAATGCTACAAGGTTACCTCTATCACACAATTGTGACATACTGATCAGGCTGTATTTCAAGCCATCTATCAAGTAGACATTCTCAATGGAGTGAGAGTCTATCTTACCTACCTTTCCAACCGTAATAATCTCACCTTTCTTCCCATTTCCAAAGGAGACATTACCTCCCTTTAAGTCCTCAAGTGAAAGGAATTAGTTCTTACTTCCAGTCATATGTTTTGAGCAGCCACTATCCATGTACCATATTTAGCTACTTCCCTTTACTTGGACCTGCAAAAAGAAATCAAGGATTAGTCTTAGGAACCCAAACTAGTTTGGGTCCCTTTCTATAGGCAAACGGATAAATCAGATTCATTTTAGCCCACCCTGGCAGCCTATTTTTCTCTTGAACAAAAGCTTTGTTCTTTTGACTGGCCTTTTCTTTTGCATTACATTCATTTTTGTAATGGCCAGTCTTGCCACAGTGTGTGCAAATTTTGTTCTCAGGGAAATTGAGGTACTTTCTTTTAGGATCGCACTTAGGTGCTTGAGTCCCATAACCAAGTCCTCTTTTGTTACTACTGTGATGTTCTTTTAGCCAGGAAAGTGCATCAGAAGCCATGTTCCATTAGCAAGTTCTGTCTAATTCATGTTTTACCTTCCCTAGATCTTCTTTTAAGACTTTTATCTGCTCATCCTTCCTATACAACCCATCCTTCATTTTTCCTAAGTTTTCTTCTAGGGTGAGATGTGTGCGGTCAGTTTTCTTCTTACCTGTTCCTAGTTTCAATTTTAAGGTCTCAGACCTAAGTTCTAGGACACTGGTGTCAAGCTCAAGAACCTGGTTCTTCAACTCAGCATCTTTACTATCACTCTCATTAGCCCTAGACTCAAGATTTTTGCACTTGTCTTTTAGGATCGCACATTCCCAAGACAGATCTTCCTTCTCACTGTTAATTATCTCAGACTCATCAATGAAGTCTAACAATAGCTCAGACAGCTTATCTTTATACAGGAATTTAATCTTGTCTTTGAGATGAAGGATACTTACCTCTTGTTCATCATCTGATTCTCCGATGGCCATAAGTTCTTGTTCATCTCCAGTTTCATCTTCTGAGTCCTCATCAGATGTTTCTTGCCAAGCAGCAACCATAGCCTTTGTTGATCCTTTGTTCCTTTTGGTTGAACTTGTTCCTTCTTCCTGTTTCTTCATTCCACCCTTTCCTTCTTTCACTCAATTTCCCATTGAGGATAGTTTTTGATCATGTGGTCAGTCTTACCATATTTGTAGCAACCCTCGTTGGTCTATTTCTTAGGAACCCTTGGTTTGTTGAATGTTTTACCTCTTGGAGAATCCTTTCCTCTCATCAGGTACTTTTTGAAATCTCTTCTGATCATAGTCATTTCATCATCCTCTAGATCTGAATCTTCAGCTATTCTGAGACCCAGACTTCTTTCCTTCTTGGGT